AGTTCACAAGCACTTACACCATTGGCTGAAATGTGTTTTGGTCAAAATTTTTTTTTTTTTTTTTTTTTTTTTTATGAATCTTAATAGAATTCAATTTCTTTAGTTCTTTTAATATGGTTATTGTAACAGCATTAAATTACATGGTGATTTAGAGGGACAACTAAATTAGATGATAATTATTAAAATTGTCAAAATTAAAAATAAATTTAACAGTTCCAAGGAGAATTGAACCCAGAATTAACTAATCAAGACTTTAAAATTGAGCAAAACTAATCCTCTATCCACTTTCATATTGAGATTTGATTAGCCGTGTTTTGTTGCTGCAAAATTTTTAAAGTGCTTGTAATTCTTTAACAACTGTGTTTTTTTTTGTTTTTTTTGCTCCTTCCAATTCCTCTCTGGAGTCTGAGTGTTTGTAGTAAACAGTGTGGTGCAGATGTGGAAGGCAGACACCAGTGGAGTATCCAGATAAGTTTTGGAAATCTGAAGTGACTAACAGGGTTAAATGTCTTAGATTCAGAAGTTTCTTTACATTATACTATCTGTCCAAAATGTTTTTCTTACAAATTATTCTTGACAAAACAAAAACGTTTGGTGTTGTAATTTATTTATGTTAATGGGCCAAGAACAATTATCTTTAAAGATATATAGAAAGATACTAAAAGTACTATTAAAACAAAAAAACAAACCCTCTTAAAAAGTAATGTCAAATTTTGGAGTGAGGTGCTGTCTATAGAAACAAAGATGACAGTTGATGAGGCCCAACAAAAAGTTGAAGTGAAAAATTGTAAGGAAACCCAGTAAATTTATTAATTCCTATATCCAATTTTGGAATGTTTACTTATGACAAGGTTCATTCTGCAGTACTTTCAGATGTTAAAGATCACTAAATGATTGATGATTGATCCGAGATTAACTTTTTGGAGATCAGTGCAGTTGACTTTATACATACATAAGATGCTGAAGTGTAGTAGTGTTCATTTCAGTTGGGGCAGGTGAAATATTTGAGAGTCATTGATAAGCTGATATCTAAATATGTTAGTGTAGGTATCCACTTTAAAAAAAAAAAAAAAAAATTGGATTTTAATGAAGCTTTCAGAACTTATTCCTAATTACATTAAACTTTATATTGGTTTTATGAAATCAAGAAATTAAGTTTTCACCACTTAATATTTATATTAATTAAAAAGCTGAATTTGAAGGGGGGAAGCTATGTACTTAAAACCACTAAAATATAAAATGCAATAAAACTAAGACAATTAGAAAAATTCTATTTATAGAGGCAATTAAGTTTTTAATCTTAAAATTCTATATTAATTTCACTCCCTTTTAGATCAGTATAAGCTATATTTACTAAATTGAAAAGTTTAGTACAAATCAATAAACACCAGTATTTTTTAAATTTTGTATAAAAATCCATTTTTGTAGATGGAATTCATGACATCAGAAAAGTGATGACTAGTAAATATAAAGCCAAAGTATAAAATTCAAGTCATTACTGAGCATTTCCCCCAAATTCAAGAACACAGTAGATAAAAATTATAAAGGACACTTACATTCAATTAAGCCCCTGTAGGAATATATTAAAACAAAGCTATCAAACACCTACCATCGTGTGTAGCTAATGGCAGTGGAGGCATGTGGAATTTCTGTAATATTTTCAACTTAAAATATTGCTTTCAAATCAGATTAATTATACATTAAATCAATTAATATTCCTCAATTTCAGAAGATTTTTTTTGAAGATTTGATCGAAATACATTACAATAAATGCAGGCAAAAAAAAAAAAAAAAAAACACGGAAATTTACAAACATATCCAGTCTATAAATTGGATTGGAAAAAAGAAAGATGAAATTTAATGTTTTCAATAAATACTAACTTCAAATTAAGACTAAAATAAAAGCTAAGTTTATTTTAAAATAGTAGATCACATGAATCTGGAGGCACATGTATTAATGGTTTGTAAATTGATCACTTATGTGCAATTACATGAAATTAGAGCTTTTTTTTTTTTTTTTTGTTACTCTTATTACTGAGTTTCAGTGTGTTTAAGTTGTCAACATTAATTTTTACTGGGAATTCTCGTATGTGTGTGGAAGGAGAACGGGTACACCAGTAAATAATTTAATAGTTCATCCAAGTTGGGAGATGATATTCTCTGTAGTAATGCCAGGAAACTTTTTTTTTTTTTTTTTTTTTTTTTTTTTTTTTTTTTTTTTTTTTTTTTTTTTTTTTTTTATTTATTTATTTATTTAAGATCTTAGAGTTGTCTGCCATTGAGACGAAAAGAACAAAACAAAACAAAATTACAGAAAAAAAAAAAAAAAAAAATTGAACAATAAAATATTTAAAAATTTATTGGAAATAATCAGATTTGTAATCAGTTTTTACAAAGACTTGATAAAAGTTCTTACATTCAATGTCGCTTAAAAGTATTTAATTACACATGATAATTAACATTTAGACAATAGGTTTAAATGTTCCAGGAGACAATATTGTTAGAATTTTAGTAAGAGCTTTGATTTAACAAGTATTGCTCATCTATTACCACCCTCCAACTATATTTAATACAGCAAGTGTGTTTTACTTAAGATCATCTCATTTTAATATTTTACATGTCTGTAAAAGATATCACCTGAGAGCATTTATTGCTTTAGGTATCTTTGTCCATTCATAGCAATGAAGTTTTGGGTATAACTAATAACCAACTGTCCCAATCAATGGTTGGCATAAAGCTTCCGAGACATCAACTTCAAATAAAAGGCTTACCAACAAGAAATACTGTAATTTAATCATTGTGTTGAAATTGCTTGAATGGTGGTGGGGGGGGGGAAGATTTAAAAGAATTCAATCCATTAAGTTTAAAGATTTTTCTTTATTTTATAAAACTTGATTTGCAGTACATAATCACAAAAATCAAGTGTTCTGTATTCATGGTCAAAGGAAAGAGGATGTAAAAGTTCTTTAGAATATTTATCTACTTAAAACAATTTTTTTAATATATATATATATATATATATATATATATATATATATATATATATATATATATATATTATATATGAGAAACACCTATATTAAGTAAGACTTAAAATTGGAGTTTTAAGTCTTTCACCCCCCCTCCACTACAGATTTTATTTTGTAATTAAATTAATGAATTTAAGAAATTTGAGGCTGCAAGTGGCTAATTATTTTATAGGATTTTGAAGTTTTCAACCTTCAGCATTTAATCTTGTCTCAATGTTCAACCTGCACCCATGTCTATTCTACCATAATGACCTTTTGCAAAAAAAAAAAAAAAAAAAAAAAAAAAAAAAAAAAAAAAAAAAAAAAAAAAAAAAGAAGAGAGGTCACTATGTGAGTGACTTCCTGAGAGGCTATATTTACAGGCTTGGGTTTGAGAATGTTAAAAGCTACTGGTTTTGTAAAATGTATAAAATTTTACAGAAAATGACATACTAAATATTCCTTTAAATAAATTCAAGTATTCGTTTTATGCAATGAGATTTGATTTGAATTAAAAGAGAAAAAAAAAAAAAAAAAAAAAAAAAAAAAACAGCTGCAAGTTTTCATTGTTACTTCAAACATTAACTGTAAAATTAGAGCTTAAAATATTAAAGCTTGTTAGCTGCTTCTTGCAAGAATTCTATTTTAAACAGTAATGCTATACAACTAAGCAATAGCTTAACATTAGATGCAACAGAAGATTTGCTGCACAAAAGCTTTGGGAGGAGGGAGAATTAGGCATAAGTTTTATGTTAGTTTCAGATTGTGTTTAATTGTCATTAAGATGCAATATAACTTAAACTATTAAAAGATACCTAGTCGTACACATGCTGTTAAATTTCAGCTAGTCTACACTACATTCATTGTCAGGTGTATCCTATGAGAGGGGGTGAAATCCTTTTTATTGCCTCACTACACCCCTCATGGAATGTACTTGAGTGGCTGAAAAGTGGAGCCAGTCAAAACATTAACAGCATGTACAGGAAGAGGTTAATTGCCTAGACAATATAAAACATTTTTCTCCAATTAGGCTCTCTAATATTGCTACAAATTTAGGGTAAAAAGATTAAGACCATTTTAAATGTGTACAGTGAAAAGGAACTTGTTTTTAAAGTTGTGGCTTCCACCATCTGTGATGAACAATATCCAGTTGTTTCAGTAATCAACCATCCTTTGTTCAAATTGCAAGAAAAGAGGGTGAAAAGGGGGCTAATAAGTCTTAAAAATTAAGTTTTACTTCACAATACTTTTAAATTTTATTCATTATATTTAATAGACTTTTTGAAAAGGAATTTCTTAGAGGAAGAAGAAAAAAAAAAGTTCTGAAAAGTGCCACTATTTATGGAAGACATTTTTATTTTTATTTTTTTTTTTAAGCATTAAATTAATATACAATTAAAAAATTTAGATCACTGGCAGAAAAAGCCAATGAAAAACTTCAAATAAATTTTTATGAATATAAAACATGAAAAACGAGTGGAATTTTTTTTTTTTTTTTAAGGAGAGGGGGAATAAAGTTTTACATAAAATTTTTTTTCCTAAAATCATACATAGACAAAGAAATTAGAACAGCAGAGTTACTTTGCAGATTGCGAAAGAGGTACTCAGAAGTTTTTAATTATTGGGGGTGCGGGGAGATACAATTTTTCCCCTAATTTAAAAAGGGAAATTAGGGTCTTTCAAGACTACCCATTTCATTAAAAACACCCGAAATTCTGTACAAGAAAAAGTTTAACATGATCAGCCAAATAAATTTATATATTTAAGAAAAATAAAAGATAAAAAGGGAAATATAGACGATTCTACGTGGTATGAATTAGTGGAAGAAAAATTTCAAATACCAAGAAAAGCTTAAAAGGAAGAGCTATTTACAGATGGTAGGATGGGGGGGGGTGAAAAATGGAGGGGGATCTTTCACATACACAAGCATACTCCTTTCATCGACAGATCCATAAATGAACAGGAGAAAAATAAGTGAAGGGGAGATGATAGTTACTGGAATCTTAAACTCTTCACATCTGCCAATGGGTGAAGTGAGGAAGCTATGTGGTATCTGGAAAAAAAAAAAAAGAAAAAAAAAAAGAGAAATGAAACAGATCAAAACCATTGTAACAGTCATTATAAGAATAATCAGAGTACAGTCAGTCCCTTCCTTTAAGTGAAGCATGAGTATAATTAAATCTGGGCTATTAGTACCCCTCCCCTCCAAAATTTGCTTCTAGTTTTGCAGTCTGGTAATAGGCAAGTGAAAGGGGGAACAAACTCACCACAAATTTTCCGTTTTCTCTTATGACATACTAAGATATCTTCAGCCATGACTCCATCTAAAACAAGGCTGGATTATATAAGCCAATGACTAAACTGCCTACTTTTTATTCTAGTGGAACTTTATCATAAAAAAAAAAAAAAAAAAAAAAAGCCCCGAAAAATGGCGACTAAAGCACTGTAAAATATCCAATTTTAAGATTTAGATACCATACTTTCATTTATGCCCAACTATGATAGGAGGCAGGCTGAAAGTAAAGAAGCTATGTAGCCTAAGTTTCTTCCCCTTTGCCACGACAGAGCAAGGGCCTTATCCACTAGACATGCATATCAACAAATGCCTTATACAAGTGAAGAAAGATTTGTCTCTGAAATTTGCATCCATCTTAGTTTCACAAGTGTTTACATTGGTGAGGTATTTCTTTTCCAGTGACAACCTTTGTTAGGAGCTTACCTGTACTGTTAGTCAAAGTTAATGTGAGAATGTCAGCATACAATGTCTGTTACAGTCATTGGAGAATAAAATAAAAAATTTTAAATCAAAAGCCTGTGTATAGTATAACTGGTCACTGAAAAATGTAGGATTTTTGAAAAACAACTCACTACACTTGTGTATATATGGTATGTGTCTTTTTGCGGGTGTTAAGAGTGGGGGTATAAATTTACAGAAACCAACCCAATAAGATTTAGACTGGTTATTTTAGTGGAACAACTCCAAACCGAATAACAACTCACTTTGTTTGTTGGTATTTTTGATAGATGGCTTGCTGAGGATGGGTTTTTGCATTTTTATGGGTTTCACACAGAAGCTTGGCACAGCACAAGAAGTCAACAACAGAATAGCCGGAAAGATTCTCCACAGCACTGGGCTATTTAAAAAAAAAAAAAAGTAAAATAAAAAAGAATGTAGCAAGAATCAAAATTAATCTCTTTAAATCTGGTATCAAATAGGTGCCAGTCACAAATATCAACTCTGGATCAGTGATTGTCAACCACGGCACTGAAATGTATGTGTGGAAGTGATGAAAGTTATTTTCAGTCATTGATTTTTATTGTATTTGAAGTCGTTTTATACTGTTCTTATATTGGACTTCAGTTATGTGAAGAGTCTTCATCATTTATAGGGGTTGAGGGCTCAAAATATTCAACTGTACCCATTGATTTTAGATTTCAATACAAGAGAAATATCCCACATTAGCTAAGAAGGTTTACAGTTTCATAGCAATTTTTATATGAAGCTCCCCAACCATAAATATGAAAAAAAAAAAAAAAAAAAATTTAGCCGAGTGTGCAGTTGCTTAAAAAGGTTGAGAAACATTGCTCTAGATAGTGATAAAATTCCAGGCCACAAACTTCTGAATATACAAATATGGCATTAAAGAGGCAGCAGGAATATGTAAATGTATTTCTAGTTAAGAATGAAAAAAAATTACCGAATCATTCCCTCCAAAGGATCCTAGATTGCTAAAAAGAGCTTTGTTTAAACAAGTAGACTGGCGTTTGTATATTGTGCCAACCCTTTCGTAAGTTTAAAAATAAATTATTTAGATAAATCTAGTTGTACTGTGGCATTGGAAATTAGAGATTAAATCAATTTAAGTATTTGACTGATGAAGGAAAATCCCAAAACATGTACAAACATTAAATTTTACCTGCATCATATAGAAGTTATATTTTCTTCAGATAACTACAGTATGAATAGACAAGCACACAATGAGCTAAGTCCAGAATATTAGCAATTTTTAAAGTTGGTAACTTTCAGCAAACTACAGACATTTAAGGCAATTTTTTTTTTTTTTTTAAATTATGTGGGTATCATTAAATGGTCTTTTAGAAAGAGATAAAAACATGCATTTCTCATCAGGATATCAAGGTTGGCATTCAAATAAGTGTAAAACAGCAATTCCCAAAGTGGGAAGTAGAAAATTCTGGGGAAGTGGGAGGCAGATTGGAAAAAAAAAAAAAAAAAAAGGGGGGATTCTAAGATTCCCAACAATAGTAGCATTCAATTCCAATTGGAGGTTGACTATACATTTGGGGATTGATAGGATCATTTTTGGAGACAACAGTTGGAAGGTAATGTTTGCAAAATATGGTGTGAGTGAATAAAAGAATTATGGCAGCAAAAGTCAATGCCATGAAACATTTGCATTTATGCCTAAAATTGGAGAGAAAGACTTCCTTGTATAGAAAAAAAAATTCCAAGAGATTTTGTTTAACCCTTCTAACATACTTACCCAGGGATCCTTCAAATCTAAAGTTTTTGCAGCCAGATAGAAAGCTGCAGCTGCAATGATGCTTGGCAAGAACTGAAGATAAGGGTTGGCATCAAGAAGTGTTAATTCTATCAAGAACTGCAAAGAGGCAAAAAAAAAAAAAAAAAAAAAAGTTAGACTACAAATTCTAAAATACTCTTAAAAAAGAAATTCACAGACTAAATTACCAACACATACATGAAATGACATCAAGTCACTTACCATGGAGAGGTATTTATGATGAGGATGGTTAAGGTTGGCCTCATGAAGGTAATGCTCCAAGAACGTATTTGTGGTGGGAACAGCCACATTAAAAGAGAGAACTTTCAGAATCATTTGCTCCATTTTCAAGACCTGTGAATAGAAAACATTTTCAAAAGCTATTAATGGCTATTCACAACACCCATTTGAAAATAAAATAAATTGCTCCATTTAACAAAGTCTTGGTGGCAAAAAGGAGAAAAAAAAATAACAGAAATACTAACCTGGCTTCGAGTATATGTATCATCAGTAATGTAGACAAATTCACCAAGATCTGGAGCCTCAATTTCTTCAAATTTCCTGAAAGAAAGCTTGAGCAATTTAGATTTCCTGTCAAGAGTGGTGGAAATTGTTAAAAATCTCCAAGACAAATACATTTAAATTGTATTCAAAAAGATTTAAAAATTGTGAGCCATTTTAGCAGAGGGAAAAAAAAAAAAAAAAAAAAAAAAAAAGTCTAAGTTTTCCTTGATTGGAATAAAAATCAAACCCATGTTCCAAATCTTATTCATACAGTCAATTTAAAACTAACAGAAGATAGCACAAGGGCAAGTTTAAAGGAAGTGTATAACATGGGACTTTAGTCAGACTCTTTATACTTTAGGAGAGGCTTGAAATGCCAGAGATTATATCTAGCCACCTCCTAAAAGGAGCTGTGCCAGGACTCCCAACTGCTTTCAGCTGGAAGCAAAACATTTGAGCCAAATGCCTACTTCATTTAAAACACAGCACAAGAGCTTTTAAATTGGGAAAGCTAAAAAAATGTTTTATATACTCACGATGCAATGAATGTACAGGCAGTCCCCAAAAGCTGTAACTTTCCTCTATTTACCGCCATTGTAGACAAAAAACGATCAATGTAGTTAACAGACAAGAACAAAGTCTGGCGAAATAATTTATATTCTTCAGCAACCTCCACGAGCCAATCAACCAGAATGCTACGCATACCATATGTGATATCTGTTTGCTTATGCATATAGTGTGGTTTTGGCAAATATTTCTCCTACAGATGACAAAGAAAATATTTTAGTAAAGAGAAGAAAAGTAAAGAAAAAAAAAAAAAATTTGAAATCCTTGCCAAGATTTGAACTGGCAGTTGAGATATATATATATATATATATATAGTCAAATGACCGGATATATTGTAGCGTCTTGTCGAACGTAATTTCAATGAAGAAATAAATTGAATAAACATTTTTTTTTCTTTTCTCAATAATTTTGTAGTTTTTAAACTTAATAGTGATTAAATTTGGATTTTGAAATTGCCAGTTTTTAATTTTAATATTAAATTTTATCAATTTTAGAATTATTGTTTAGTATAAATTATTTTTAATATTACATGTATTTTAAAGATCTGAATAGCTATTATAACAATTTCGTTGTCAAGCTTTTGAATCTTTCTATACTTAGTTTTTGATTGGTTATTCTAGCTTTTGTAACAATGTTTCCCCCTAGTGTAGGATTGTTAATTAATCTGAAACTTTTAAAACCATTTATTTTATCTTCAACATCACTTGATAAGAATAAGACACCGAGTGTGTTGAAACAAAATGGCTATTTATGTTATAATTTATATATATATATATATATATATATATATATATATATATATATATATATATATATATATATATATATATATATATGACCAGAAACAAAAAAATTACCTCAGCTTGCCGATGATAATTAAATAGATCTTCTTTATAAATATCTATTTCATCTTGTTCTTTCTCCTCTCTTGATTGATCCAATGTAGCAATGCTTGTGTCAAGTATCATGGGAGATTCTGCATCCTCTACAGAAGGGGAAAAAAAAAAATTTAACATTAGTCACTTTCATTAAACAATTTCCAAATATACTAATACCACTTTCATAAAAAGAAATGTTTTTTTAGTGACCTCTACAAATTACAGTATCTTAAGTCAAGGGTGTATTTTTTAAATATTAAATGACAATTTGATTTTTTTTTTTTTTTAAAGAAAAAGGGGAGATAATTAGAGTTACTTCATTGAACTGGTATTACTTAAATTTTAAAGAGTATATCTGGCTCAAAAATTGTAATCTCCATTTTTTTTTTTTTGACATTTTACACAAGAAAACCACTAAGATGCAAGGGATACTGAGAGAATGAGAAAAAAAAGACTTAATGAAAGTGAACACTAAAGAACAGGAATTAAAGAGATTACATTGCATTTAAATTTCAGAAAGCCAAAGCTTATTGGAAAGCAAGAAACTGGAAGAGTTGCACAAGTGAGAAGTGCAAGAGAAGACATACATACATATATATATATATATATATATATATATATATATATATATATAAACCTTGCTACAAATCTAGCACTGAACTTACATTCATAAAGTTTACATACCATAGAGGAAAGTTTAAAAGAATTACTATGAAAATTTAGAAGGCAGAAAAGTTGTTATGGCAAAGTAGGATACTGACTGAAGTAAGAGGTTCGGTCAGAACTAATAAAATGATTGAATTTGGTAGATATATTAGAACTAAGTGAAAATTATAATTCGAGAGACATTCAGAATCTGAACTTCAGAACAGATCAACTGGCAATTTTTCTAAGACTAAACCTTTGTATGCTTTCAGCTTATATTTAATGAGATTCCCTGAATCAAGTTTCTCTATCTCAAAATTTTAATGAGCAGTTTGTATATTATATATTGTACCTCACAATATTCAATAATTTAAATGCCATAACACCCTCCACCCCATGCTGATTTTCAGGATATAGTGGATCATGGCTCTGGATTCCTTTTAGTGTGGAGTCATGGAGACAATTAGTGGTCCTCCCTGCCACCATATCTATTTAACTCCTAGCTGAGAGGGAAAAAAGGGTTATGTTTCATAATTGCTGAGTTACTAAAGTAAGGCTTTTTTCTGCCCTGAAAATATAGTAACCACTTAGGCATTAAAAAAGTGTGTGCAGAATATACAGTTGGAAGGAAAAAAAAAATGACAGATTTTGTCTGGCTTAAGATTTGTAATCTTCATAAATTTAATTCTTTTAAAGTAAATTTGTGTTCATTGATAGATTTAACGTAATCAAATTACCTGAGTTCTGGTTTCACAATAACGACTTCAGTCCAAGATGTCAAAAATCTTGGATTCTTTAGGGGGTAGCTGAAGAGCTCTGACCAAATAATCAGGAAGCATGGAACTATTGTACACAAAAATAGTGCGTCACAAAAGTCCAAATTTTGGAAAAAATCAGTTGACCAAGAACTTACCCACCATATACAAAATTCAGCTTCAAGTACCAGAAATAGAAATTTTGGTAACCCCTAAAACTTAACTCACCAATAATGAAAGGTTCTCTAATGCGGTCAAATGGCTGTTTTGGTAGAGCTGTGACAGCATCATGAAGATCAAGTCTCTCCTCCACATGCAGATCTTTACAAGCAGCACCAATAAGTTTAGGTTCTTCAGGCTTAGAGTTGGTATTCTCATCACTGTCAACATGTACTGTAAAACTGGGTTTGCATGGAATTCGGTTAGTTGTTAGTTTATATTTTTGTTGATTATGGCCCAAGTTCTCATCTTGGGAACAAGAGTTTCCAAGCTGAAAGTAAAAAGATGAGCTTCATTAGGACTGTTAAGAGCCGGTTAGAAGAAATGGAGATATAATAGTTACACACACGAGAGAGAAGACAGATTTTTTTTTTTTTTTTTTTTTTTTAATCACTCATTGGTCTTTTCACTTAATCTGAAAAATATGAATTTTTAAAATATAGCCCATTTAAAGTACTAAAATACGGTAAGTCTCATCTCATCTAAGAGTAAAAAAAAAGTTTTGAATGCCGCGTATCATTCCGTTTATTGAAGAGATTTTATATGATGTACAGCAAGTTCTTCATGTATTTCTAAGAGCTAATATTAAAAATGTAGACATGGCATCAGTGTTTGGTTAGCTGAGTGTGGGCTTGGTCCGGAAAATGATTTATAACCTGGCGAGATTCTCGAATCCAAAATGCTAGAATTGTGTACAATGTACACCTCAGTTAAAAACTTTTTTTTTTTTTTAACAATGTCAGTTTAAGGGTAGATCATATTGTATGACAAAATAGGAAATAAGTTTCGTCCTTCAAATTGAGAGTTATTTGCAGGGTGGAAAGAGGATGATTCCATCAGTATTTGATGAAATCATTTTAAAGGTCGAAACTCGTATTTTGTTATTCGATTAACTACCATCAAATGTCTGTTTTTTTTTTTAAAGAAAAAGCATGAACTTGAAACAATAGTAAAAAGAAATTTACGTGATAAAAAAAAAAAAAAAAAAAAAAAATTTAGTGGTTTATGAGACAGGTTTGCTAAGCATTCAAGTTTAGTTACAAGAAATTTTTAGTAATAAAATTAAAGTCTAGTTGAATCGAAACATTTTGCATTTGCTAAAAAGTGTATTTTAAACTGATGACTTGTAGGAAAAAAGATTTATAAAGAGTTTATCTGCATTTTAATTATTCCACGTGAATTTTGGAATTCAATAAAATTGAATATAAAAAGATAAAGTATATGTTGGCAATTTAACTTTAAATATTTATGTTCGTATGCAAAAGGCCATTTTAATTTGCAAGTTTTGTTTTTAATAAGACAGTGATACATAGATGGTTAAAATTTAAGTGTTTAAAGTAGCGATTATAATTAAATATGGCAATTAATTTCCCAATAATAATAGTTAGAGGCTTAAGACTATAAACTTTGTTTTTTATTCTAACGGAATAGGGTGTAGAGAAGGTTTTACTAGTTTTAATTTTTGAGTACATAAAAACTAAAAAGCTAGTCTCTCGAAAGAATAAAGGGACAGCAAAAAGCGAGGGATGTTCGAATGATTTTAACGAGAATTAGAGTAGATGAGAGTCCCATTGTTGAAAAGAAAAATAAAAGGCCATGTAACGGAATTGAGGTTTACGATCTTTTACAAAAGTAAATTTGAGCTTTATGACGAAAGACAACGAAAAAAAAAAATAAAACGAAAAAATTACTGAAACCTTCGAATTCCTTAAAGGTCGTTTTCTTTGCTGTTGTATATGTGATGTGACGTCTGACAAAACGTTGAGTTTATTACTATCAATGTCCATCGATGTAGGACGAGGTAGTTCGCCTAGAACTTCCCGAGATTTTGTGTTCCGGTAAACCCGAGGAATGCCAACTCCTAGAGAAGAATTTTCATCATTAAGAAGAGGTGCTCTTTCAGTAAGTCCTTGTCCTCGTTGCTGCATTGGCTTGGCGTTATTATACATTTTAACGTCTTACCGAGAAGAAAATACAATCTTAAAGATGTGATTTTTTTTTTTTTTTTATATATATATATATATATATATAACGAGCAGTTTTTAATGGCTGTTAATAAAGTTGAATGAGGATGTCCCGATTGAAGAAAAAAAGTTTTTGGTGTTCAATCAACGTTGAGGTTAAATTTGATTACAAAAGCAAACACATCAGATTCAAGGGAAACTGTATGCATATGGTGTGGACGGCCGAAGATCGTGCACTGGATAATTAAAAAAATTTTTTTTTTTTTTTTTTGTGTGTTACTCTCTTTTTTTTTTTTTTTTTTCCCGGTGTGTTGATGTGTGAACCCTTTTTACAGGGAAGGCCGTTGGTGAACAGAAAGTTACACACACGTTGAATTCCCCGCTACACTTAAACTGACCAATCAGAGCGCAGTATTTTCAGTCACGTGCAAAACGAAGCAATAACAGCTCGACTTTTTGAAAAATACACAAACATCTTAGCAACAACTTGAGGGGGGGAAGTAACGTTCCTTGCCTCAAAGAAAGGATAGAATAATCGAAACTCAAACAAGACCCCCCCCTCTTTGTTAGCTAGTGTGTCCAGGCTCGAACCTAAGTAGAACTATTCTTAAACTTTTTTATTTGTTTTGGGAGTGGTAGTTTTTTTACTTTTCCGCAATCAATCACCCTAATTATGAATAAGAAGACTAAGAGTAATTGATTATTATGTTCTTTCGATTATGAAAAAAAAAGTGTATTATGAACAAAGGAACGAAAAAATTTTTACTTTTAGAAAAAGACTTTTTAGTTTTTAGGTTCGAATCTCGCCAAAAGTGACTGAATTTTCTCTTTGCTTTCTCATGTGAGAGACAAAGAAAAAAAAGAAAGAATTTTATTTTGGTAATATAAACTAAAAAAAAAAGTTATTCAATAAATCTTCTAATCAAAATTTAAAAATTTAGTTACATAACAGTAACACTAACACACACACATTGGATCAATAAGTCCGTAGCGGCTACGGACTTAATCGTACCCCAACACCTTTGAACTGGAATTCGACTTCTACAAAGTTCAAACTTCGAAATATGTGATTAATTTTAGCCACTAAATTAAGTGCATTGACAAAGAAGGATGTTAATGTTGTTAATGAAAGAAAATGATTGTTAATGTTATGTAGCAAAAGAAATTCTTTACATCCGCCGTACGTACACACTCCCAAACACACAAATATGTACATATCCGTATATCCACCCCACACATACACATATATCCCTATACCAGACACAAAGTGATTTACTAAGCGAAGCTAAAGGCCGAAGGTATGGAACACCCGGTGAGGATCGAACTGACTACTCAGCTGTAATTGATCAAGCGAGACACGATTGCCAAACATTATTACACTCGACTCCGTCGAAGTGCCCTGGTGGGTTTGTAAGTGTAGCTTAAATGTGGCACAAGGCCAAAACCATGGGGGCGCGAGAGCATACACACACATAAGAAAGAATAAAGATTGTGTTCCCCACCCATTCCCCAAAATGTTGATCAGAGTATTTCTGAAAGATAACATTTTTAAAGGCAAACAGTCTTTCTAATTAATTATAGTTTCGTGCTTGATATTAAGACATCCACTCGTCAGAGGATTTTATTGTTAGTTTATTTTTCTATAAGTTCAATTTTACAATAAAGTCACCTGGTGAGTCGATAATACCTGAAAAATTTAAAGTAAGGATTAAAGTGAATATTTAATATTATATATTTATTACTACACACACACGCGTACATAATGTGATAAAAAGATATAGTTTTAAAAGGTATGAATATGATGTACTTAACTTATGGTTGAAAGTGCTTAAATTTAAAATCAGGGTTAGATTGTGAATTTAAATTTAAAAGTGGACACTGAAGTCAACAGCAAGCGGCAGCGGCCTGTTTCATGCTTGAACGTATTCTTCACGCCCTATAAACAGAAAATGTTTGTTTTATAACATTTTTTGATTTCAGGAGGCTGATTTAAAATCCAACAGACACCAAAACCCGCTAATTAATACATACATACAGTGAGCCACCGCCTATTCGCGTTTCAGCATTCACGGTTTCACACATTCGCGGATTTTTCTTTGGAACATATGTACTTGTTACTCGCGGAAACCACGAATATTCACATATTTTTCTGAAGAACATTTGTACTAATTATTCGCTGAGAACTCCCTCGATTCGCGTATTTTTTTCGATAGAACATATTCAAAATATTCTTGTATTATTTTCCTGGAAACATACAACAGTAGTTATGTCTTGTTTGTTACACATATTTTATACAGTATTTTCAATGGTTGTATCGATCTATGCGTAATTAAAAACGGTTATTATACGTATGAAAGAAAATTTACTCTCTAGTCTAAGTCAAGTATATGGTCACCAATAACTATTTTTCAAAAATGTTTTTAAAAGTGTCTGAAATAAAGTGTATAGGATGAAAGTTTAAGGCATATGGGGTTTTAACAATCAAAATTGGTACTTATATGCAATTTTATGAGGCTTCTTACAAGTATTCGCGGAATTTAACTATTCGTGGTCGCGGCTCTGGTCACTAACCACCGCAAATACGGAGGATTCTTCTCTCTCTCTCTCTCTCTCTCTCTCTCTCTCTCTCTCTCTCTCTCTCTCTCTGTATGTGTGTGTATGTGTGTGTGTGTGTGTGTGTGTGTAATAAAATAGACGATCGGAAAATAGTACTTAGTTCTTGCCAATTTTTTATTTTCCAATTGTTTATTTTATTCAATTTGTCTTCTCTACAGATTTATTCTGAGAAGTTAAACACACACACACACATACACACGCACACACACATATACAACCCCCCCATATATATATATATATATATATATATATATATATATATATATATATATAATATTAGTGGTAAATATACACATACATATGCAAAATATATAAATATATATACATACATGCATACACATACATATATATTTTATATAAAAAATTCAAGAGGATAGAATCCAGGTAGAACTCAATGTCCAGGACAGAGTAAGGATATAATAAAAAGGCTTAAACACTATTATTCCATGGTCATAATTTATTCCATTGGAATCGTAAATACGATCCAATTCATCAGACCTACAAATTCAAAAAGAAAACAGAAAAAACAACTCCGGAAATAAAAAATAATATATATATATATATATATATATATATATGCTCTTGAAAAATTTATTTCGGTTGATCTCTCTGTGAAGGAAGTGTGAGTTTGCTAATAACGGTAAAACGAATCGAGATCTCTCAGTCACTGTGTGTTTATCTAAAAATAAATACGCTTAAATTCGCCTTCATCCCTGCCGTGCACCAAAGGCTTAGGGGTAGAATATCCGACTGCCGCCAATTCAGTCGGGTTTCGACCCTAGCTAGAGGCAACCGGACGTCTAGCCATACTGATGAGCTCTGATACAGCGAAAAAGTCTGTCTGTGGATGACAATATATATAACAAACGCTTTCTGGTCGTCGGATCTAATAAGTTATTTTAATTTATTTCCTGATAAACTCACTTGTCGTTCGTTCCGACCTGAAAAAGTCGAGACCAACAGACGCCTGCAAAACGCGTCGTTTATATGCCTTTTCATTTTGTCTCATTATCAACATTTTTGTTTCGGATACTACAAACGCACCCACATATACTGGATTATTCCGTTGTTTTCAACGTATGTGGGTACAGCAATTCAGTTCTTAGAAACAAACAGCCAGTCAGCTCGCACATATAGTGATGAAGGCTCGTGCACAACCAACCACACTTTTGGGAAGAGCCGAATTCAGAGAACTGATGCCCATAATGTGCCACAAAGTCCCAAAACGACACTTCTCAGGTTTTGAATTCAGAGTTGGTCTTCTCTTAGACTGGTTGCCACCTAAGGCTATATAACGCAGTCTGTTCTGCTATTTTACCCATAGCTGGGGGAGAAGTGATGGACTCATACCCTTCCCAACAGTATTTGTGCGTAAGTGAATGTAATGAACTCGACTGGAATTCGAGCTCAGCTCTCCTATTCTTCAATCTATTACTCTACCCAGGCAGTTATGAGGAGGGTTAAGGTCGCTTCAATCCCCTCTCTAAGTTGAGGATATTTTCAGAGCGCCCACGTCGTTACGGAATTTTACACAAGGTCGAGTTTTAAAGTGGGTTTACCGGCAATATCGTCGAAAAATTGTCTAAGCCCCACTCGGCACTTTCCCTTTTGGGGACGTCTCAGGCACCGGGCAATACCCACCAAAGGAGATGTACTGCCTTGAGCGTGAGCTTAAAATTATTTGAACCTCTCCGAGACAAAAGGTCGAGAACTAAACAGAAGACTAATTTGTTCTCTTGGCCTCAATCTGTGACAATACTACTTACCTGAGCTGTATCGTTTGTCTAAAAATAAAACATGACATTTTCCTTAATGTTGTGGCTCTCCTCAGCTTCCTTTCCTTTAATATCTATGAGGGCACATTCTCTTTATTATTTTTCTCGTGTGTGCAGGCCTGTAGATTAACTGTTTAAAATTAATGCTTTATTAAGTCTGTTAGCGAAGAGATTTCGCCATTAATTATATTAACAGTAATAATTAAATCTTTGTATGATTGCCTCTTTATAATATTATATTACTGCACAATTTAATATATATATATATATATATATATATTCTGTGTATTTAGTCGATTAATTTAATTTTAATGATCGATTTTTCCAAATTACGAATAATTCTTCTCAGACAAGGTGAAAATTCCGTCAGAAATTGCTTGAAGTTCATTTCGGAAGAAAAGTACATGAAATATGGTCCAAGCTTTCGACTTTCCATCAGGGTAGATAGAGAAAATTGATGAGTTTCATAGAACTAGTGAGTGTGGTGACGTAAGCAAAGGGCATTGTGACGTAAACGAGGTGTGACCTGTGTTTTTTTTTATATATTAGTTTTGGTTTTTTTATATATATACATTTGAGGACGAGGCTTTCTCT